GTAGCTACTTCACATGTTTTTTTTTTTTTCTCTTTTAGTAGTAGTTATAAATAAGATAATGAATATTAATGATTTGTTGACATCTTACCAGACTATCACAAATATAATTATTTAATAAATTAATTCGTTGTTGGTGTAATGGCTATGCTGCTGGACTCCCATGTAGTCCACCGCTGTTCAAGTCCTGGACCCGGTGGCTTAAAACTCAATGCTGGGTGTGTGTGCATGCATGCCCAAGATCCCAAGAGAAGAATGGAGAAGGGATTGCAGCATGGCCATCCCCCCGGGGAGTAATTTCTCTCTTTCTCTCTCTTTTCTGGTGAGCACATGTGCCCTATAGCAAAAATCTCTTTTAAAAAAATTCGTTGTTTAATGTCTTTTTTTTTTTTAATTTCCCATAGGGTATGCACCTGCTAGAGAAAGGCACAGAGAGAAAGTGAGAAATTACTCCCCGGGGGGATGGCCATGCTGCAATCCCTTCTCTATTCTCCTGGGATCTAGAGCATGCATACACACGTGCCTGGGGTGATTTTCAAGTTGCCAGGTCCAGAACTCAAAGGAAGGTAAGCCATGTGGCAATCCAGCACCTGGACCACTGCAACACCTGCCGGCCCAATGTCTGGCTTTCTGAAGACATCCTCTAACATCTTAGGAATAAGCTCCACCAAAGCATGAAGCATCCAGCATGTAGCACAATGCTTTGCACACAGTAAGCACTCAATATTTGAATACATGCATGAAACCTTAGATGGGCACCCTGTAGCAGCTTCAACTGTAGAAGGTTATGTATTTAGTTCTGGCACAGGGAGAAGACCTAAGCAGCATGGAACTGGCTTTCGCTGTCACAGCAGAACTGCTATATCCTGAGAATATTGTGCTCTCCACAAAGATGCCTGACCAATGGGAAGTGGGGACTGAAATCTGAGCCACAGACCCAGGGAGTGGGATAAGGGAAATGGGAGGTAGAGATGCCTTCTAATAATTCTCACAAAGGCATTGCCAGGGAAGGCAGCGGCAGCCTTGCGTCACAGAATGGGTCCTCAAACCTCAGAAACAGCATGTCCTAGGAGAATGCATGAGGGGATTAAGGTGGAATGAGTGAACCTGACCAGGTGAAGAGTCCTCCTATGTAATGGCAGTATTATCTTGTCCAGGCAAGCAATCTGGCCCCTTCACCACCTCTGTGTTCCCCCAAAGCTGTTTCTCTGGTTTCTCAGTTGTACCTTTAGGTAGGGCTGAGGGCAACACTCTGTTTTTCCACTGGAGGACATGAGTCAGTAAACGGTCAGGCTCCACTTACTCACTACCCAAAACAGTCCTTAAAATCAGGAGCTAGTAAAGCAAGGAAGTGATGAATAGAAAAGTCAGAACAGTGATTATCTCTTGGGCAGGACAGGATGGGGGTGGAGGTGGGGATTTATAGGGGTCTTCTGTGGTCTGACAGTGTTCCATTTCTCAACCTAGGAGGTAGTTACATTGACGATTGCTTTATAATTTTATTTACACTTTTATGTACTTTTCTAAATGAGTATTACAGTACACAAGTTTAAACAGCTAAAAAAAAATACAATCTGTAAAACGTTTTTGAGCAGGGAAAGAAATGAACAGATTTGGATTGTTCAAAGACCACTGGGGTATCGAACAGAAGATTGATCAAAGTGGGGGCAAAGCTAGAGGCAGAGAAACCAGTTAGAAGATACCTACTATAGTTAGGAGAGACATTATAATGATCTGATCTAAGAAAAGGTAAAATGTTAAGGATACAATCTATTTATTTATTTATTTATTTATTTATTTATTTATTTATTTTTTGTAGAGAGATTTTTGCTATGGGGTATATGCATTTGTCAGAGAGACAGAATGAGACAGAAAGATAGAAAATGAGAAATCACCCCCAGGGGAATGGCCATGCCATAATCCCTTCTCCTCCATTCCCCACTCAGGATTTTGGGCATGCACACACATGTGCCCAGGATGAGTTTTAAGGTGCCAGGTCCAGAATTTGAACCATGGCCGACAACATGGGAGTCCAGTGGCTCAACCATTATACCACCTACTGGTTCCTAGTCTACTTTTTTTTTCATTTATTTTTTTTTTTATTAATTTATTTTTTCAAAGTCGACCAGAGACAGAGAAGGAAAGTGAGAAAGCAAGTTGCCAGGTTCAGGACTTGAACCAGTCAGCCATGTGGAAGTCCAGCTGCCTTAACCACCACACCACTGGCCGGCCTCATCTACTGATTTTTTAAAAGCACAACAAAATAAAGCAGAGGTTGGAACTAGCCCTCAGCTCCCTTTTCACCTCTAACCTCAGTAAATGTGGCTCAGGAATTATATAGTCCAAGGGCAGATCAGTGTCTAAACAGACACATAGGCTAGGATTTCCCCTTTATTTCTTCTCTATGGCTCTGTCTAGTGTGGCTCAGACTGCCTGGCCAGTGACAGTGAGAGCCTTTTTCATGACACCACAAAATTATGCAAGTTGAGCTAAAATAGGAGTTTTCTATCATAATATCTAATCATTCAAACATGAAATCACTTGAGACTTTAGTGTTTTACATCTACTGTCTGGTGCCAGGATGTTAACTCTGTGAAGGTAAAGGTTTTTGTCTGATTTGTTCTCTGCTATATCCTCGGCACCTAGAACTGAATGTGGTACAGGGTAGGTGCTTATTAAGTATTACTAAATGAATGACCGCTTTTAACCTTATTATTGATAGATAATCACAACAGTCCTGTGTAGTTAAACAGGACATAAGTTACTATTCCCACTTTACAAATCAGAAAATAGAGGGCCAGCCCGGCAGTATGGTGGTTAAGGCAGCTGGATCGCACATGGCCTACCACACAGTTCGAGTCCCAGATCCAGCAACTTAAACACATGCCAGGTATATGTGCATGCCTGCCCCAAATTCTGAGTTTGGAGGAGAAGGGGGCTGCAGGGTCGCCACCCAGGGGGATGCTTTCTTACTTTCCCTCACCACCCCCCATGTCTTTTTGGTGAGCACATGCACCCTATAGCAAAAATAAATAAATAAATAAATAAATAGGGAACATTTAAGGAACATGTTAAATAGTTGATCATTTGGTTGGTGATAAAAATCATGATTTAATTTTGGATTTAGTATTTTGATTCCTCTTGTTCTACTTCACAGCTAAAGAGCTGAGGTTTAAAGTCCTTTTTTGAAAAATACTTTTTGAAAGTTGGTCCCATGGTCTGGTAGTTAAGGTAGGTGGATCCCACATGGCCGACTGCATGGTTTGAATCTTAGGCCCAGCGGCTTGAAAAACATGTTGGGTGTGTGTATGCATCTACCCAAAATCCCAACAGGGAGGAGGGATGGAGGAAAAAGGATTGTGGCGTGACCATGTCTCATTGGCGGGTGCTTTCTCTTCTCTCTCTGTCTCTCTGGTGAGCATGTGAACTCTCTGGCACATTTTTAAAGTGCTTTTTAATTGGCATACAATAGTTACAGATATTCATGAGGTACAATGTGGTTTATCAATAAATAAATACCTTGTGTTATGATCAAGGCAGGGCAATAAACATATCCATGATCGCAAATATTTATCTTACTTTGTGTTGCGAACATTTAAAATCTTCCTTTCTAGCTATTTTGAAAGATACATTGAATCATCACAAACTCTAGTTACTCTACTGCATTATAATACTCTAGAACTATTCTATTTATCTACTTGCACACTTAAATCTGTTAAGCAAGCTCTTCCTTACCTGCCTCTCTCTCCTAAAGTTCTTAACAGCTCCAAAACACTAGCTAGAAGTGTTCCAAAATACAAAATAGGCACTTACTAATACCTTATGTTATCTGATATGCCAGCTTATAGAGTGAATGAGGCCTAACCAGCTGCCATCACATCAATAACCAAAGTGTCCTAGAGGATCTGCATCATTCTCAGGTAATTGAGTCCACCTGCCCCAAAGCTACCAGAGCTACCGTGTACTCATGCTTCTCTCCAGGTCCCTCAGTTGTCTGCTCTCCATTGCTTGTTTTAGCCATTGCACCTCTCCAAGCAAAAGAAGTTAAAGAAACCCTGTTGTTGGGACCAGCAGGTAGCATAATGGCTATGTCACTGGACTCCCCACATAGTCGACAGTGGTTCGAGTCCTGGACCAGAACTCACACCGGGCGCGTGTGCGTGCGTGCCCAAGATCCCGAGAAGAGAATGGAGGAGTAAGGGATTGCGGCGTGGCCATCCCCTCTGGGGGTTGGGGGGGTGATTTCTCACTTTCTGTCTCTCTGTCTCTCTCTGTCTGTCTGGCGAGTGCACGCGCCCTATAGCAAAAACCTCTCCAAAAAAAAAAAAAAAGAATCAATTCCCAATAATATTTCTCCTAGCTAAAACCTTGTAATTCGGATGACCTCTGAACTGAGAGTGTTTGCATCTCATTTTCTCATTAGGTTTTATTATAGCCAACAACAAAAAAAAAGAAAAAAGAAAGAAAGAAACAAACAAACAAACAAAGAAACAAAAAGAAACCCTGTTGCAAAAACATGCTTTCTAATATTGTTTCATAGGGAAAAAAAAGAAAAAGATATAATGTGGCAGTGGACAGTTTTGGTGCTCTTCAGAAATCTTTGTCATTCAAATTGAACACCTTAGGGGGGGCTAAAAACTTAACGTTCCATGAGAAGTTCATCTTGGTCCTTTTTTTCTTAGTTAAAATCGGTAGTTTGACGCATAAGCCACAACTCAGATACCTGAAGAACTCTGGATGTTCAATTAATAATTAGGATTTACTTTTCTCAAGTTGAGTATGTCTTTGGTAGGATTACTAGTCCGACTCCAAAGAACCAGCAAACAAAATATTAACCCAAACCACTCAGAAAAGTCAAACTTTTAGGCTGCTTTTCTCCTTTCTTCCCCTCCAAGATCTGATATTCCTTTATCCCAAGAGCAGTTTGGTCTAGGAAAGTTGGACCACCACAGTCGGTTAAATAACGGATGTAACTACCCTGAGAATGTTACACACAGACTCACCAGAAATTCATTGGCAAACTCCTCCTTGTTGATTTTCTTGTTTTGGGCCTTACCCAGGAACTTCTGCAGAATTTCTCTTTGGTCCATGCTGCAGAGCAAGGGAAACAATCTGTGAGTAGGTCGAGGGAGGGCATGTCAAATGTGTGTCATGGCTGAGATACCGCGGAGAAGCCACTGCTGCTGCCTGAGCAGAGCATGCTGAAGGCTGTGGTTTACTGACTTCATCACAAGCCCTAGAGGAAATTAATGCGTAACCAGCCTCTGTGGTCACACAACAAAGCCATCCTCTCGCTCCAGGGCCCTAGCGCCTTCCTTCTCACCAAAGAAACCCAATTACAGTTCAAGTTTTTAACAAACAAGAGGCTAACCAGAAGATGAAATGTGGTTTACTTAGTACTGAAACTGTTCCACCCAGTTACCTTTAAGTAAAATTCATCTTTCTCATTGCTTCGAGAGACAAGGCAGAATTACAGATCCCATGGTGAGTTAGGCTACCTGTTTCCTGATAAGCACAAAGGCATAAATAAGACATGTTCTGTTTCCTTACGTCCCACGTGACCTCTGCAAGGTTCAGGGAGGCCGAGAACAGGAGAGAGACTGTGTGTGGAGTCACATGTCTTCTACCTGGACTGATCTCCCAAATGTTTGTCCGTGTGTTCAGGGCAAACTTCTGCTCATCAGAGAAGGCATTTTTATTCAGAACTTCTATTTCTGCTGTATAGACCTCAAACTCTTTTGGATGAAGCAATGTCAGCTGCTTCTGATAGTCTGTGCCTTTCCCAGGGTTAGGGAAGTGCTCACCTCCATTAAGGGAAGTATTGATTTCACCACCTCTTCAACGCCCAGTAGCTTTGCGAGCCTCACTTGGCTTCTAAATGCAGACTGAGAAGGTGGGTCTATATAGGCTCTTGGGATAAATACATATCAGATCTTGGAGGGGAAGAAAGGAGGAAAGCAGCCTAAAAGTTTGACTTTTCTGAATGGTTTCTGTTCATATTTTTTTTTTATTGCTTCTTTGGAGTTTGACTTGTAATCCTACCAGGTATCTAGCTAAATAAGAGATACCGTTTCAGGCCAGCCAGTGGCCTGGTGGTGATGGCAGCTAGATCCCACATGGCCCCTACAAAGAGCACCTAACCAGGCATTACATCCCCTCTGTCTGCGATGCTGCTAAACTAAGCAAAATCAACCATCTTGCTGACAACAGTATAATTTCAAGGGCAGACAGCCTGAAACATTATTTCTAGAGAAGGTTTTTCTACCTATAACCAATGTATTAGACAAGACATTGTCTCAGGGAGCCATACTGTGAGGTGGCATTTCGGCCCTGAATGGCTGTCTAGTCTAGAGAGAGCTTCCACCCCTTAGCTTGCATAACCTTCTCTGTGGTTACCAATCTATCCAAGTGTCTTAATTCAATGTGAGAACACCCCCCAAAGAGCATCGTCTTTGTTTGAGGGTAGAAATTCAATAAATAATATGTTAACGAAACTAGTCCGCAATAATCCTGAAAAAAAAACTGGAAAATGTGTTGTTTTTAGAACTTGAAGATATTAGCAGTCCTCTCTGTTTTGCAACATTATTCAAACTCCCTCAGAAAATCATGATCCTGAACCCTATTTTAAACACCAAAGAGGCTGCTGATGCTGCTGCTGCTTAGGAAGCCCTGCAATAAGGAAGGAAAGGTCATCGAGGTATCTTCGTTAAGGAAAACTTGAAGCTTATAACCAATGTTCCAAATAAAGAATTTCAATCCCAGTCCACATGAATTAAACCGTAATTCGAGACCAGCAGGTGACATAGTAGTTGAGGTGCTGGACTCCCACGTGGCCAAATGCAGTTCAAGTCCTGGCTTGCTTTCTCACTTTCTCCCTCTGAGGAGCACATGTGCCCTACAGCAAATTAAATAATATTAATAGTAATACATATAAATAAATAAATAATTCTTTTTAAAAATGAACCATAATTCTTCAGCAGTATTTGGTGAAAATGGAATAATTTTTCTCTAATGATCTTTACCTACCATTAAAGGAGAATGGTAAAACTGCTCTATTTGAAGTAAAAGAAATAGTGCAATGTTTAGTTTGGCTATTTTAAAACACATATACTATGGGAAAGTTTTATACTTAATAAAATACAAAATTTTGAGTTCGCAGTAACCAAAACCAAGTAAAAAGTATGCTTACATGCCAGACAGTGGCATAGTGATAAAATGTGACTCTCTACAAGGCTGACCCGCATGCGATGGTCTCCGTGAGAGTGCCAGGCACGCACTTATCCATGAACTGGGGTTAGCCGAACTGAGGGGTAGATAGTGGTGTCAAGACAGGAGTCTCTCTCATTCATAGAAGACATAAATAAATAAACTTTAAAAATGTGTATAAAGGGAACCAGTAGTTAACGCAATGGCTATGTCGCTGGACTCCCATGTAGTTGACCACGGTTCAAGTCCTGGACCTGGTGGCTTAAACTCATGCCAGGTGCATGTGCGTGCATGCCCAAGATCCTGAGAGGAGAATGGAGGAGAAGGGATTGTGGTGTGACCATCCCCCCCAGTGTAATATTTCTTGCTTTCTGTCTCTCTGTCTCTCTCTGTCTTTCTGGTGAGCGCACATGCCCTATAGCAAAAACCTCTCAAAAAAAAAAAAAAGTGTATAAAGATAAAAAGATGCAAAAAGAATCAATTGGTAAATGTGATTAAGAATTTTTTAAAATTATTATAACACTTTTTTAATTAGAGAAAGCACAAAAATACAAAAATTCATTAATTTGTTCAACAAGTACATTGAGTACTCACTTCATGCTGAGCATGATGTGGACTGGATATATAGTAGTCAGCAAGCTAGAATATGGGGAAAGATGCCCTTCACTTATTGACTCTCACATGGTCAACCATGGTTCAAGTCCTGGACCCAGTGGCTTCGAAATTACAATGGGTGTGTGTTCAAGAGTGCCCAACGTCTCGTAAAGTGAGAATGGATTGAGGTGCTAGTCTCCCTGGGGTGATTTCTCACCTTCCGCTTACTGTGTATCTCTCTCTGGAGAGTGCGCAGGCCCTAAGGCAAAATCCTCTACAAAATATGGGACCAGCAGTTAGTGTAATGGCTATGTTGCTGAACTCCCATGTAGCTTACTGCGGTTCGAATCCCAGACCCGGTGGCTTAAACTCACATGCGCCCAAGATCTCGAGAGGAGAATGGAGGAGAAGGGATTGTGGCGTGGCCAACCCCCTGGGGGGTGATTTCTCATTTTCTGTCTCTCTGTCTCTCTCTGTCTTTCTGGAAAGTGCCCGTGCCCTATAGCAAAAACCTCAAAAAAAAAAAAAGTTCCACAAAACAAATAACTAAATAAAGCATCTCAGAATTAAAGATATAGACTTAAGTACTCATAAAAATGTAAACATTCCAAACTCATTTGTTTACTTGCAGAGTAGCAAAGTATTGGGTTGTTGGAAAAGTCATGACCCATTTTTGCATAGAAACACACAGAAAAATATGTCGACTTTCCCAACAACCTAATATAATCCTAATAGAGAAATGGCCCTCTGTGTTTGGGCAAGTAAGAGATACAGTGGCCTGGTGGTTATGGCAGCTGGATCCCACATGGCCAACCTGGTGGTTTGAGTTCTGGACTTGGCAGCTTGAGAAACATCCTGGGTGTGTGTGTGTGTGTGTGTGTGTGTGTGTACATGCCCAAAATCCGGAAAGAAGGAATTGTGGTATGATTGGTATGACCAGGTCCCACGGTTGCTTCCTTGCTTTTTCTCTTTTTTCTTGGAGAGGTTTTTTTTTTTTTTTTTTTTTTTTAAAAAATTACTTTTTTTTTTTCTTTTTTT